AGAATACAAATATGTATAAAGTAAACTATGATGCAATCTAACTTTCCAACTCAGAAAAATGATAAAGAGCATGAACAAAGAACATGTAAAAAGAAATGCAAAATTTGCACAATCTAAAATGAGAAACTGTAACTGCAAGTAACAAAGTCTGAGCCATGGTAAAGAGTTACATTGAACACCAAGCTGATCAGATAACTCCCTGGTTGGTCTGAAGTCCTTCTATCTCCAGGATCTGTACAAATCGGCACATTATGCCAAAAGTCTTCTCACTGGGTGAGCTGCTTTGCAATATACTTCACATTGTTAGAAAAGGCTCCAGAAGGCCTTGGGGACATCAGTATCAGGGGCTGGAGCTGGACAGGCTCTTTCATCAGCACTTCTCCTTCCCTTTGCCAGCCAGGACCTCACATACTGTTCCGGATTGAACTGTCCTAGTGATGGTCCATTACATTTAATGAAAACCAGGCTGGACAGTCGGCTGACAGAGAGAGCATTCCTTTTTGCAGTAAGGATATCGTTCATGCAGCTGAATGCCCGCTCACACTCACTAGTGGAGACAGCGATGGTTCGGACTGCTTTCAGTAGAGGCTCCATGGCAGCAGGTGTACGGGATGCCCTGGTTTCCTTGTATTCGCAAAAGCCCTGAACAGTCTCTCTTCTGTCCACTTTCAGCACTTCGCACAAACGTAGCACCTCTACGTCCCCATACTGTACGTCTAACTCCTCTTCAGGCCAACTTCCAGGATGGATAACTTTCATGTCCTGGATTAGCTGATTGTCCCGGGCCTCCCGGCCATGTAATGGGATTTCTCTTGTGCTGACATGAGAGGAGGTTGTGGAAGTCATTCTGTGTCTCAGATTCTCTACCATACTGCGGAAAAACTGACCTGCATGAATCTGTACAAGCCTGCCATTCTCACGCAGGGCAACAGCCTTGAAGGACTTCTCAGCTAGAGCTGTATGAACTGTAGTCATGTGTGGGCCAGGCATGGTGACCATGGATTCAAAAACTCGTATTTCTCGAGTTAAGAGCCTATCTGCTGTAGGCAGTGTCATCTCTCTTTTTTGGAGTTGCCGAGAGAGGTCGCTGAGCTCTGTGAGCGCATCGTACATCAGTCCCAGATTGCTGACAAACGTTGCAGATGTGAGCACATCATCTAGGCCCTTGTACTTTGCTCTGTCTCTGGAATCCCTGCTCGTGTCGTTTGCAGCATTTGTGAAGTGATCATGAAGCACTCGGTAGTTTTCCCAGACTGCTCTGACGCTCCTTTCACTTGAAGCCACCCAGCAGATGGACAAAACACGCCCTATCACCAGGAGACGCTGTCCGACTGCTTGCGCACACTGCGCTAACTGCCTCTGATTTTTGGGGGAGGCATGGAACAAGGAATAGAGTTTGTCAAAAAAGATCTGGAAATGATTGAGCCCTGAGACCTCCTTGACCACATCCCCAACTGCCAGCTCTAGACGATGATTGGAGCAGTGCCACACAAACAGGCTTGGGAATTTACTACACAACTGGGTAGCAACGCCTGTTCTCTTCCCTAGCATGACTGAAGCCCCATCACATGCAAAAGAAACGAAACACTGACCTAAAAAGTCCTCGTTAAAATCTCTTCCAAGACACTCCATTAACGCCTTTGTGATGTCATCAGCCGTTGTTCCATCCAACTCGATCAGCTCCCAAAAAAACGTTTCGGGCTCAGCATCAGCTAATGCTGAGGGTAGACACACAACAAGCACCGTTTTACCACTAATAGTGGTAGATTCATCGACCAAAACACAGAGTTTTCTTTGGTTTTCTGTAATGTCTTTTGCCATTTTTTTCTTCAGCTCATGAGCTATGTGGTCGATGATTTCGCCACAGGTTTTATTGGAGTGCAAAACCCTGCCCACGTTCAGCCCATTCAGTTTCTGTACATTCAAATCAATTGGCATGTCTGTGAATGGCCGGCTATGTTTGCCAATTTTATATGCCGTTCGAAAAACTCTGATAGTGGTGTCTAATTCAGATGTATGCATAGACTGCACTTGATGTTGAATAGTTTCACGTGAAGCAGATGTAAGGATGTCAGCAGCTTTTACATGGGCTTATGATTCTTTATGTTCTTTGATTTTTTTTTCTCAGGCTAGCTTGTTGTTTGCCCTTGTCAACACCGAAATGAGACACTGCACACTCACCCCATTCAGTTGACAGTTTCAGTCCTTGTCCAGTGTAATGGCAATTTCCTTTTCCTATGTCCTATATATGTTTGCCGTTACTTTCACAGAAGGGTTGAAAAGTGATCCAGACGCAGACACAAACAGATGATTTTCCGGTCCTTAGTTGTGGTTTATGATGATGTTTATTCGTCTTTACATACCAGGGTTAATTTAGCGTTCTAGTGATTCTATAAGCATCTGCCGGGCTGGTGGAATCGGTATGCTCTTCTCCTACTGTGTCCCCCCCCCTCTCTTGTCACCTATGACCTCCTTATATACACCCGGTGCAGCTAAACCCCGCCACCCAGTGTTCATAAATAATATTGCACTATACATATAACTTAAATAAACTGACACACCAACATCACCCACAAAATGGCTCCTACATCCAGTGTGTATTCCCAAAGATTTGACATCTCTGCATATCTTTAAGAAGGAGCCATGCATTGGTCTTGCAAAAATATTGCACCTGGTCCGTTGTCCAGCAGTCAGGTGCATCGCTTTGCCCGGTGTTGGTGGTGGCAGTTGCGCCAGCAGCAGCTAACGTTAGAGGCTCTGGAGGAGGCGGCGGAGCTAGTGCTAATGCTAATGCACTAGAACTTGGAGCAGGAGGATCAACCAAAGAAAGCTCCCCATCAGACACAATTTCCAACACAGGCACAGCATTCTCTGTATTTGAAGTTTCTTCCGGCGACAACCGCTGTCTTTTTGCACTTTTATTAATCCACGCTAACATTTTAGAAATGCTCCTTTGTGACGTGACTTGCTTTCCTTCTCTCGGGGGCGTGCCTGCTCTGTTCTATCACTCTACATAGCCACCCACTGGGTGGGAGTTGCACTGCATAAACACAACACACGTGCATCTAGGTATGTAAATTGTAAAGCAATAAAACATGGTTTTACTAACAGTTTTCAGTATGTTGTTACTACGGCATTATTATTATTATTATTATTATTTTGAAACGTGTATTACTATTAAATCACGGTCAAATAGGTTAATTTTGACATAGTCGTTTCCACCACAGTATTTACATGGAGAAGATAAGCCCCGCCCCCTCTCCAGCACGTTCTGTTTGAATGACAGGAGTAAACAGCTGACAGCCGCTGTGAAACTCCAGGGGTTAGAGCGATGAGAATGTCCGTTCGGCACCTCATGACGCATCTACTGAGTACCGGGCGGCTGTATATATATATATGGATGTATAATAAGAACGGCGGGAGAGTGTTGAGTACTGGCACGGTGCATGAGTACCGGAGTACCGCCAGCATGCCGGTACTGAGCAAGAAGTGCCGGTACTCCATGGGTCAGAACCAGAAGTGCCGGTACTGCGTACCGGTGAGTACCGGCCCAATTCCAGCACTGCGTGTGCTGCGAAAAGTGTGGTGTGTGAAGAGGAGATGAGAGAGCTGCAGTGACGGGTCCTAAAACCCGGAAGTAAGCTGCGCATGGCTTCCCTCGACAAAAAAGCAATGAGATTTCTCCATAGAAACGTTTCTACCCTACTTTTATAATTTTCGAATAATAAATCTATTGATTAGATTAGATTTATGATAGAACATACAAGAACATAAGGAGGACTTTTACAAAAAAGTAATAGAGATTTTTGTCCAGAAGGATAGGCAAATGGACTTCATCTTCAAGTCAAGGTAAGACTGCAATTTTATTGAAAATGGGATCTTACTAAGAGAGAACAATTCAATATTTAAATGATAAAATTACATTTTTTGGGTATCCTTTTGTTGAACTGTCTGTTTAAAATTAATTGAAGCATCAGACAAAAAAAGCTTTTGAAAATAATATTATATTTTGATTTAGGTCAAAATATAATATTTGTAAACCTGAAGAGTCAGAGCCTCACCAGCCATGAACCTCACTGCAGAAGCTATAGACATCTAAGTTTTTTGTGCCCCACCACTTTTGTACATATAAAAACGCCACTGGCAGTAGGTACCCTGAGCTACATGGCCTCTACTCAAAAGGGTCAACAGAAGCCTGCAAAATAACAGGTATGCATTAGGTGAGGTATACTGGTATAAACTGGCATTAGTTTCCAAATTATCTGTGTATGTCTGGTTTACTGTATGTTGACTGGAAGTATAGCAGCATCATGTTTTGTTGATATACTATACACGGTACACCAAACAAATAAATAGTTGAAAACACATTACTGATATTGCTTTTGTCACAATGGGAACACAACTAGTTCAAAGCCTGAGACAGGTTCTTGTATTTGTAATTGTGTGACATACTACTGTCAGAGACAAGCTATGATGATATGTGATCAGTTTGGAGAGGCACAGGCATCTGAAGTAATTGCAAGAATATTCCTACTGTACATTAATTAAATATTCAGATAAACATAACATATTAGTATAACAATGTTACCAAAGCAATACAGGCTTTTGAGTCAGAGCCGCATGCTGCCATACAACATATTGCTTTAGTTTACATAGTCAGACACAGAAATTCTAACAGCATGTTTTGATCCCATGTATCCCGTGCATTACCATTCTTCTTCCATATAGGCCTACACATTTGCAAGTTTTCTTTGTAAAATCAAACTTAGAACATACTTTAGTCTTCCTGTAATGAAGGCATAGCTGAGTAAGTCAACAACATTGTGGTCTTTAACTGAGCGTGACTTGATATGAGAGTTAAAAAAATGATCCACTTATACACATATACAAACAATAATGAGAAAAGATTTATACACTTTAATGTTGTGTTACAGAATTGACTTGTTTCTACTGTACAGTTGCAGTTCTGCTCACATCCTGCTCATTCCTCTCGTCTACAACTCTTGTGTATTTTACTATACAGGTCCATGATGGCGGAGAAACTGTCAGATATTGTGACTTTCTTGAGAGGTTGAGGTGTCCCGGAGGACACGGTCAATTTCATTGAAGAGCAAAAGGTATTTTTCTGAATATAAGATGGACCACTCACATTGTGTTACTCAGAGTAGGATCTTGAACGTTTTATTTTGTTGTCCATTATCAGTAATCAATATATTTACCTCTATATTACTTCATCATGATTGTGGCCCTTCAAATAAAGTGCTGGGCTGGCTCAAAAACCGAACATATGATTATTGGCAGCCACGTTGGGAATCCACATGTAATAACTATTTTTGGATTATATGTACATGATACTTCAAATTAACCTTTTTCCAATTAAATAACTGATCATTGAGATGAGGGTCAACTATCTAATTGATATGTTTTGTTTATAAGACATAACTTCTAAATACAAAAGTCCTGACTTTATTGGAATGGTCATTATTATTATTATTATTATTATTATTCTGGAATTAAGTCATACCTAAAATACTGTGAGTTTTGAACATTCCTCAATGAATTTATATTTTTCAAACATTCAACATCAATGTAATTTAGGAACTTGTTATAATTCACATGTAGTAGTAAAGAAAAAACAAGTTATTAACTGAAGTTGTGTAGGAATAAGATATGTTGTTGTATTACTAACTACATCTTTAGAGAGGCAGAGGTGTGCTTGTCATCTGAACTGGCCTGTTTAGATAACGTTCATGTTAGGCTTAATATTACTTTTAAATATATAAGCTACGTGTCTCATCCTACATCTTAAGTAACAGACATGCTCATATTCTCTATTTACAGATTGACAGAGTCTAGATGTCATCCTCCTGATGGAAGATGCTCAGCTGGCCAATTATCTTCCATCTTATGGAGACAGGATTGCTCTGTTTCATTTTTGCAAGCATCACACTAACACATCAAAGAGAAAAGAGGGTTTGTTTGACAAATTAAGGCAGAAGCTCAAACTAAGGCAGAAGCTCAAACTAAGGCAGAAGCTCAAACTAAGGCAGAAGCTCAAACTAAGGCAGAAGCTCAAACTAAGAAAGGAAAGCCACAGTGAAGAGGAGGTGCCAGAAACGTCCCGCAAATCAAGAAGAAAAGCTAAACAGTCCACAAGAAATATTGAAATAGGATGGGTTCACACTATTGATAAAGTAACAACACAGGTCAGAGCAAAGCAGGGTGGGGGCACAAGGAAGGTCCCTATTAACGTTCACGGAGGTTTTAACGACATATTAAAAGAAGGAAAGGCTCTGTTCTTCCCAGAGGGTAAATCAAGCAAAGGTCACGAATCTGATTTCAAATTTGATGTTTGGGACTTCAAGCTAAATCCTTTCCCGAATGATGTTTCTATCGAAATGATATATGACACTGTCAAACTCCCACTTTTGCGCTTCTACATAGCAACTCAACCAAAATCAGTGCTGCATGAAGAGGCTCATGATGACTCTGACTGTGATAGCTTTGTGTCTGAGCCTGATTTACTGCCACAGAATAAACAGTCCACACTGGAGTTCACAATAGAGACAAATAATCAGTTGATGACAGATGAATCTCATGACTACCTTCCAGAGGTGTTCATTATTTCTGAAGAAAGCGTCACAGAAGAAAGCTTCACAGAGTCCTCAGTAAACAGAGAGAACCCTGCAAGCCCATTTGCCAACATTAACAGTGATCCTATCACTTTGTCTGCGGAAACCAACTATACTGTTTTGGAAGCAGATACCTCTGACCCTGAGATCACTTTTGGTCCAGCACAAACAGGGGCTGACGACAATCTTAGTGACACACTGATATATCAACCTGATGAGCTCCCCCAAAGCCCTGTTCATATTTTGCCAGACATTACTTTGGTTTTACACCATTCACACAGCTTCAATTAAGTGATTGCATTTTCTGACCCTGCTATTATGTACAAAACATTTGTTCCTTCCTGACCACTCAGTAGAAAAGGGTAGTGGGTCTGGAGTTGTCAGAGATGTCTACAGTAGCCTCTGGGAAAAGTTTTATGAACGATGCACCCTTGGAACAACTGTAAAAGTGCCTTTCCTCAGGCATGATTTCTCTACTGCTACATGGAAAGCTATTGGGAGAATTTTTGTGAAAGGATTTCAAGATTGCCAGTACATGCCAATCAAGCTAGCTCCACCTTTTCTAGAGGAAATGCTGTTTGGGGCAGCGCACAGTAACCTGCAGACAAGCTTCCTTCAATGTGTGAGCCGCCAAGAGCAGGATCTCCTCAGGGATGCTTTGGCAGATTTGTCTTCTGTTGATGCTGATGAACTTCTTGATGTGCTTAACAGCTATGAATGTAGGAAGAGGGTCACTGCTGCTAGTCTCCCAGAAATCTTGGATGAAATATCTCACAAAGAACTGGTACAAAAACCAATGTTTGTCATCGACTGCTGGAGGGAGATCATTGAACTCTTGGGAACTCACCAACATGTACAGTGACCTCAAACCAACACCAAAGAAGGTGTTAAGTGTATGACACTTTCCTACAGAGATGAAATCAAAGGAAGCCGAGGTCACACTTCACCTGAAGAGATACATCAGGGAACTTGATGAGGAAAAGCTTGGAAGAGTTTTGAGGTTCTGCACTGGCTCTAATTTGTTGACATCTGGTGAAATCGTAGTGGAGTTCATAGCTCAAAGCAGTTTCACAAGAAGGCCAATTGGACGTACATGTGGGATGATATTGCAACTGTCTGACAACTATGACAGTCTTCCTGACTTCCGCAGTGAGTTCAATTCTATTCTAGAGAGCAACATCTGGATTATGGACATTGTGTAGGCAGGAATATTGATATTGAAAGCTGTTGGCCAGACATTCTCGTTCTCATTTTAAGGTTAAGTGTGACAATTATTTACACAAGCAAACAGATACATTCTTTAAAACATGCTGAAAATTAACATTCACACAAATGCTTGTTGATTACAGAAGAGGGTTCTGAGACACTGTTTAACAGTCTATTGTTTACAGAAAGAATGACTGTTAGTCCTACATGTGCATACTAAAAAGGAATTGTATTTTGTTTGGGTAATTTCTTTATGAAAGTATGGATGATTTCAACGGTTTTCAAGGCTCTTTAGGTTTGACATAATTGTACTTGTACAGAGTACAATATTGTTCAACACTCACAAGGTCATTTTGTTCTTATTTAAATACATTTGATGAGTAAAACATTAATGACATTTTGTTGATATTACATATACAATAATATCTTTGTTATTTTCAGCACAGGACACAGATTATACAATGTATCACTGGCTCTACAATAAAGCAATATCACTGCTTCAATTAGGTGCATAATGCTTTTGTTTTTCATTGCTCCATCATTTTATGAATTTATATATGATTTATTTCTTATTATCTCTGCACCTTCCTTAACATAGACTTTCCAAAGGGTCTGTAATGTTAACATAGTTAGGTTACAATGATAGGTGACAGTGCATACTGCAGAAACAGTACCCATTATGATGGGCTATTTAAATAGTTTCAAGTATTTCATTTCTTAAGAGTGAATACAGTTCCACTGCACTATTATATGCATCAACAGGAGAGTTCCAACCATTTACACCCATTAGGAGAACGCACAGTTCAAAAACAGTCTCATCACAGGGGTACTGCCCTTTTGGGGTGCACTCCTCCTTGCACACTGCAACCTCCTCAGCTGTGGCATAGAGAACATGAAAATGGGGCGTCCCCCCCTGCAACCCATGGACAGGCCTCGATCTTATTTGGTGTGTGTTCCATGTTCTCACAACCTCATCAAGTTCTTCCTGTGTGACAAAATATCCAATTAAAGTAGGCTAGTTGCAACATAAACAATTTAACATTGAAATGCAGACTGAATTTAACTGACATGAAAAGACAGCCAATAATGATTTCCCTCTATTTAGTAGGTTTTTACGTAGTTAAAGAGCAGAGTTACCAGAGACTTCAAAAACTGAAGAAAGCTGAAGTGACGTGGGTTTATTTCCACATGTTGTAACACTAATAATCTGGTTACTGTATGTAGGCCTACTCATAACGTGTATAATATGGATTTATGTTATGTAGCAATTACCTGTAAAAGGTTGAGGAAGCAGAACTGTACCGGGTTTTTGTCCAGGAAATCTCCTGTGAAATATCCATCATCTTTGAGGGTTTTAAAAGTGTCCATCCAAAAATGTACACTCTATTTACGCTGATTGGCCGTACTGCATCCGTAAATAAAGCTCCCTTCTCCGGCATGATGATCCGTATGATTTCTACGCAAGAACAGCTGCATTTCCCTGACATGCCCATTTTCGGTACCTGGGTCGGCACGCATCCGCTGTGGACAGCCTCCAATGCGCGTTACTGTGCTAATGTAGTCGGCGATTACCTTTGGATCACTGTTGGTGGTATATGCCTCCATCCACATTATGTAACGACTAAATCCGTCAATGCAGCCATTTATTGCAATGTCATAAGGCTTTAGTTTGTCATATGAGTCCATATGCCACAAGGCGTTGGGACCTCTGCTGTGGTGGTAGACTTCTTGCTCGTCGTAGTTCGACTCCTTCTGGATTCAAAGCCTTGATTACAAGTGTCATCGTTTCTTGTGAAACAACAAAGCCCCTTTGAACAGCTCGTAGATGTAACCAACGATAGCCTTGTAGTCGGCCAGAACCAGCCATTTCCTCCTGCAGCAAGGAGACATGTCTCCTCCAAGTCCGTTTGGTTCTTTCTTCGAAATAGACATAGTTTCTTGCAGAACCTTTTCAAAGTTCTATTTATGATAATCTGATGCTGATGTGCCAAAAGATTAAGAATTTCGTTATTTGAGAAACCTAAACTAAAGTACTGCTTCACAAGATGCTCCACATTCCTCATTGTATTGCAGGACGCTGCTGTTGTCTCCTTCTCAAGTCACTTATGAAACTTAGACTTTATTCTCGTATTATTACGACTTTATTCTCAAAATCTCTCTGTTTTTGTTTCTAAGTGTGGCCCTAATACTCCGTCGTATAAAAGTGTTGTTGAAGAGGTCCGTGTTCATATTCTAGTTTTTTTTTTTGAATACACAACAGTCAGCAGTCATCTCAGCAGCTCAGAGGTATTGGCTCTCACATACTCCACTGTATCTCAATGTTCTGCTCTTAAGCCACAGTATGTCATTTTAAACTGTGTATGAATGTGGTGTGTGTTACCGTGTCCCTGTCTGTGGGATCCTCTGGATCTGAACTCAACTTCACCAGCAGGTGTCAGTAACACACAGTTCCTCCCGCTTAGGAATAAGATAGAAATAAAGAAAAAATTCAGACTTGAGACAGAAATTGCAAATGGTCCATTTTGAGGTGCTATATGACAAGTCATGTGTCAAATGTCAAATAATGTATTTTTGATTTTGCTGATGTTAACCAACATGCATCCAAAACTGACCTCCAACCCCTCCAGAAAGCATCCAATAATCTCTGTTTACTCTTGGACGTGCCTCCATTGCTCATCACTGTGTAGTGTAGCTCACTCAAATGGCCTCCGCTCAATATAAGAAGACATATTCATTGGCTGCAACTCATATTAATATGAAAACTATCCACATCAGTTATTAATAGCACCGTTTGAGGCATTCTACACAATGCTTTTACTCCACCCCCTTGATCCAAAGATCATCTATAGCACCTTCAGACTGGAATCATTGACCAGAAAACAAACCATGCTTAACTTCCTTTCTAATGTTTGAAAATGCTTGTCTTCTTATTTTGAGGTCAATTGTTTAATACGTACAAAACACTATGTTTGTATTTATTTTATTGCCAGTCAAACGTATTTGTTACAGTGGTTATTTTCAAATGTGTAATCTCAATTTTATATAATAAATTATAATATTAATGAACTTTATTTACAGTATAGAGCGCCTTTCATGCAAGATGCAAAGTGCTTTACAGAGTAAGACAGACTATAAAGTCCAAAGGGGACAGAACAACAGAAAGCAGCCTCCCCCTTGTGTAACACCTTCGGCCTGAAAGGCACGGTCTGATGTATGTAGAGGCCAGGTCATGTAAAGCCTTGTTAATCATTAAAAGCACCGGTAACCAGTGCAGTGATGCCAGCACACAGGGGAAATGTGATCCCTACTTTGTGCTTGTAAAAATCCTGGCCGCAGCGTTCTGAATTAATTGCAATTTCTTTAAAGATTTTGGAGACCAGTAAAAAGAGAATTTCAGTAGCATTCTGAGTTAAAAATGGTCTGATCCTGGCAATGTTCCAAAGGTGGAAACGTTTTAGCAACCTTGTTAAAACAACTTAAAAAATGTATATCAGACTAAAATTACCCTAGATTGGTAACTTGTGTTACTGTCTTGCTATTTGTACGATATGTTAGGACCCCCTTCGAAAACAATATGTTTATCTCAAGGGGTTTATCCTAAATAAATACATTTCAGGTAAATCACATGCAGCATCTCAGAATGCAGAATGTAAATAATACATAGCAGCAGACTTATTTTTCATTTATTTACATGATTTGTGTGATTTGTGTATGACAGAGCTGTCCTACTTTCAGATTTATAAAACAGATGGAAAGTCAAGGGGAACACAAAAGAATACCAGCTGTGGTGTTAAATTCACTTTTTGCAAAGCAGTTTACTTTGTTAATATACAAGTATCCATTAAAGCCACTTCATAAGTGGTTATTGAAATATGAAAAAAACATGAATGTTCTGATAAATCAGATAAAAGACTGATTGTTTTAGCACCAATTTCTGTAAAACTTAAATAATTGAAGTTGGCAAAAGTGTTTTAAACATTTCAAAGGCCACCTGATGTCAAGTGACACTTGACAAGTGTTATCAATGTATTTCCTAACAGTAAAGGGGATCTGACACTTTAACATGTTCTGCAGTTATTTCTGGATGTTGATTTGTCGGATCTCGTCCACTCTGTTGTGGTGCAGCTGGAAGGCGGGGGTGACCCAGCTACCGCACGAACACCGGTCCCCACACCAGCTGAACGAGCCCAGCTTAGAGCTGCACTTAGGACACAGCAGCTACACACACACACACACACACACACACACACACACACACACACACACACACACACACACACACCACACACACACACACACACACACACACACACACACACACACACACACACACACACACACACACACACACCACACACACACACACACACACACAGACACAGTCAAACACACACACAGACACACACACAGTCAAACACACACACAGACACACACACACACCACACACACCACACACACACACACACACACACACACACACACACCACACACCACACACACACACACACACACACACACAGGGAGAGAGATGGAAATCATAATTCATACGCATTAACACTGTTGTCAAAATAAAACCGTGCAATACATGCTGTTTACTGTTTGCTACTGGATGCTGCTTCCTCACCTTTTTATGTTGATTTACTTTTATGATGCTGCTACTTGTGTTTCATACCTTGGATGTGTGCTTATTAGATATTTTTATTTTGTATGTGTCTCTTTATTTTATAAGTTAGACTACTCTTTTTATGTTGCCTTGATCTGCATTGTCCCCTTTACTGCAAAGTCCCTGCTGTGGGACAAATACAACATTTCAGATGTTGCTGTTATCTGAACAACGCATTGGGCGGATCTGTGCAATGTTCTATAATGAAGGAACAACTCAAAGTTAAACAATTAAGATAACATTTTCAAATGAAGCTCCTCTGATGAGAACTGAAACTTGATAAATGAGTTTAATAAAATCAGTTCGTGTGTGTGTGTGTGTGTGTGTGTGTGTGTGTGTGTGTGTGTGTGTCATTACCTGTCCATCCATCACTCCAACCAGAGCCGGTTCCATCCACTGCACGGGTTCTATGAAGTAGGACGTACACTGCACGTCTCCTAGAAAAAGAAACATTTATGTCAATACTTAGAAATGAGAAGTTTAGTTACTGAGACAGGACTTCTCATGAGGAACCTAGAAGTGGGTCCACATGTCTAGCATACGAACAGTCTATTGAACGTCAAATGTTTATACCTAAGCAATATGTCAATAAGTCAACATCTATGCTGACACATTCAAACTCAAATATATCTGCAAAACCTATTTCAAGTGTGACAACCTGATCTTAAAGCTGTGCAACCTTCACAAAGGCTGCAGAACATCAAATCCAGTTCAATATTAGCTCAGCTTTAAAGACCACATGGATAAGAAGTTAGAGTCAGAGTTCTACAATAAAAAGATAAACACCTAAAGTTGTGCTAGTTTTGAGATGAAGTTATAATTCCACGACGACTAGGAAAGCTCTGCTGATGAGGATCAGGAGATGACTGACAGCTTCAGAACAGCTACTCAATGTTTTGTGATACTTGATTTGTATTGTATAACAGCAGTCAAATGTGTTTTGATGTATTTTGGGAACTGTATTGCCTGGTCATGCTGGATGCAGAACAGGATGCATGGTGTTGCCATGGTTTCAGCTGTGGGCCTCCATCAGTCTACAACTTGCGCTCTGTTCCATATTAGGTATTGTTTGAAAAAATGAGCTCTTAGAAAATATGTTGATCTTACACATGGTTTTAAGCAAACTTTAAAATGTGATGATATGTTCTAAAGTTAAATCTGAATCAGTTCTATTACCAAGTAGGTTTACACATACGACGAATTTGCTTTTGTGTAAATGGAGTACACAAAAACACAGAGAGAGGAGTACGTTTTTTTTTTATAGGAATGAGCAAAATATAGTACTATTATAAAAGCTGTTTTAATAAAGACTAGAGGTGTTGTGGAGCTAACGTGTGCCACATGTTCCCAGGGTGGTGCAGGATGTACAGCACAAACACATCCAGAGATCCAGAGCATGGAAAGGACTTCATTGGAATAAGGACATCTTTATTTTCAGCATGCACCCTTCCCTTTCAGCCTTTCTACCTCTGTGCGCCCCCCCAGGCGTCATGGTGTGTAATCCTCAGTGGTGGAAGAAGTATTCAGATGCTTTACTTGAGTACAAGTACCATTCATTTATTGTAAAGTCCTGCATTCAAAATCTTACTCAAGTCAAAGTACAAATCTTTATCAGCAAAATGTACTTAAAGTATAACAAATAAAAGTACCTTTATGTGTGTATATAGTTATATATTTATACATGTCACATTTCTAGATAATATTGTTGCATGAAGTAGCATTTTACTGACAAAGTTCTGATTGACTTTTATAAAAGAAATAAAGAAATGTGACTAATTACATTTTTAGAGAAGCGTTTTGTTAAAAGTAGCTAATGCTGTTTAATAAATTAAGTGGAGTACATTTACATTATTTCCCTTTAAAATGTACTGGAATAGAAGTATTAAGTTGCATAAAATGGATATACTCAAGTAAAGTACAAGTACGTCAACATTTTTACTTAAAGGTCCCATGTCATGTTTTTCCGGTTATTACCCGTCCCCTTGTGTGTTATGAAGGTTGTTATGCATGTAAACGGTCTGCAGAGTCAAAAACCCTCAAAGTGCACCCTGTAGCGAGTAAAACTCTAACACAGAAAAGACCTGTCTATGCTGCCCCAGAACGCCTCGTTGGACATTTATCTTTTTCCATTGTTTTCTTCCTGGGTACTGTGACGTGGGGATACCCAGAGGCCACACCCTCTGCCAGCCTTTCACGAAACAAAGCTTCCCAAACCTTTCAGCGATTCATGCCGGATATGTACAGCGTAGGGCACTGAAGAACGATGCTGTTCCTACTTTGTTTGGACCAGCGGGAGATTCGGGTACACAACCTGTAAGTATTCATTGTTGTTTGTGTATTTATGATGTTTAAAACAAACAAGGTCTACCACGACTGTTTAAATGGGTAAACGTTTATCGGGCTACTAAGTTGGGATCGCGGAGAAATGCTCTCTGCAGACCCATTCTCACAGCGTTATAAACCTTTTTCTTACTCAATATCAAGCCACACTTATTGTTTTTACTTCGGCTGTGAGTGTTTGTGTGTGCTCAGGATAAGTTTTACTTGTTCTAGCTGTATCTCCCAGCCTGTCTGCTCCCGCAGCAGTGTGTGTGTCTGTGTGTGTGCGAGCAGCAACGAGCCTGTCAGCTTCTCGACCAATCAGAGCACACTGGGCTCACAGAGAGGGGGGGCAGGAGCTCCAACAAGCCGTTTAGGACAGAGTGAATACACATACTAAGAGATGCTGTGTGAGAAACCAATGTGAGTTTGGAACATTGAACAATGTAAATCTATTCTAGTAGACCTCAACAATGGAATTATGATCAGTAGAAATGGCCATGACATGGGACCTTTAAGTACAGTACTTGAGTAGATGTACTTAGTTACTTCCTCTGGTATCCTGTGGGTGTTCAGTGCGTTGTGTTCTTACCACTGCAGTTACTGGACTTCCTGTAACCAAAGGCCTGCGCTCCTCCTCCCACAGAGTGACTGAGAACACTGGAGCCACGGAACAGAGCCCTCCTGCAGAGGCAGAGCAGAAGCAGGGAGTCAGGATTAGATTTGATTCAGCAGTAGCAAGAACAACATTTTAGTAAATGGTTTATTCTGAAATGAATTCACAATTCCTGCAGTCAGCAACAGGTGTTTTCTTGTCGGTGGCATCAGGAAGAAAATGGTAGAGAGTCTGAAGCTTCCTACTGGAAGATCTTTCACTTCCCCCATATGACATGAAATCAGCTTCTAACATTTGTCCAGCTGTCACCTGCACTTCCTGCAGCGATAGGACGCTTCAGAGGAGCTGCAGTGGGCGGGGTCAGCGGCAAACAGCTCCCTGGGAATGTGCCGCATCTCTGCTCACACACACAAACATTCACAAACATTCACAAACATAAACAGAAAGCGTTGGAAATTAATTCGTTGGAGTCCATGTAGCGATAAATATGATCTGCTCATGGTTTAATCACAATAAACATTGTACAGTTGCGCTCTGTGTGTGTGTGTGTGTGTGTGTGTGTGTGTGTGTGTGTGTGTGTGTGTGTGTGTGTGTGTGTGTGTGTGTGTGTGTGTGTGTGTGTGTGTGTGTGTGTGTGTGTGTGTGTGTGTGTGTGTGTGTGTGCTAGACACCGGTTATCTTACTGCTTCTGCTACTTTGAGCATGCAAAAAAGTTGCCATGTGTACGGCCCCTTATGCAATGCAAATATTATTATTTGTTACGCTTCCAAAGCACAACATGTATGATTGTTTTAAGGCTCATTTAACAAACACAGATCATATTTAAACAAAATGTCTTCCATTTGTGAGATATGTTGACATTTTTCCTAAAACATTGACCAGAAAAGCTGGTGTGTGTGTGTCTGTGTGTCTGTGTGTCTGCATGTGTGTGTGTGTGTGTGTGTCTGTGTGTCTGTGTGTCTGCATGTGTGTGTGTTTACCAGGGTACTTCTCGGTGATCTTGCTCAGTCTGTACTGTTTGTACAGAGGACTGGAGGTGTCCACTTCACAGTGCAGAGCCTCGTACAGACACAGTTGCTCCTCAAAGCCACTGTTCATCCTGCAACACACCAGCAGCTGTCAATCATCTGCCCTTAGACTTATCATCACATTAGCAGCTGTCAATCATCTGCCCTTAGACTTATCATCACATTAGCAGCTGTCAATCATCTGTGCTTAGACTTATCATCACATTAGCAGCTGTCAATCATCTGCCCTTAGACTTATCATCACATTAGCAGCTGTCAATCATCTGCCCTTAGACTTATCATCACATTAGCAGCTGTCAATCATCTGCCCTTAGACTTATCATCACATTAGCAGCTGTCAATCATCTGTGCTTAGACTTATCATCACATTAGCAGCTGTCAATCATCTGCCCTCAGACTTATCATCACATTAGCAGCTGTCAATCATCTGCCCTTAGACTTATCATCACATTAGCAGCTGTCAATCATCTGCCCTTAGACTTATCATCACATTAGCAGCTGTCAATCATCTGCCCTTAGACTATCATCACATTAGCAGCTGTCAATCATCTGCCCTTAGACTTATCATCACATTAGCAGCTGTCAATCATCTGCCCTCAGACTTATCATCACATTAGCAGCTGTCAATCATCTGCCCTTAGACTTATCATCACATTAGCAGCTGTCAATCATCTGCCCTTAGACTTATCATCACATTAGCAGCTGTCAATCATCTGCCCTCAGACTTATCATCACATTAGCAGCTGTCAATCATCTGCCCTTAGACTTATCATCACATTAGCAGCTGTCAATCATCTGCCCTCAGACTTATCATCACATTAGCAGCTGTCAATCATCTGCCCTTAGACTTATCATCACATTAGCAGCTGTCAATCATCTGCCCTTAGACTTATCATCACATTAGCAGCTGTCAATCATCTGCCCTTAGACTTATCATCACACCAGCAGCTGTCAATCATCTGCCCTCAGACTTATCATCACATTAGCAGCTGTCAATCATCTGCCCTTAGACTTATCATCACATTAGCAGCTGTCAATCATCTGCCCTCAGACTTATCATCACATTAGCAGCTGTCAATCATCTGCCCTTAGACTTATCATCACACCAGCAGCTGTCAATCATCTGCCCTTAGACTTATCACATTAGCAGCTGTCAATCATCTGCCCTGGAACTTATTATAATATCCATACTGCTCAGATTAGGGCTGCACGAGATATCGTGTCGTGATGATAATCGTGATATGCGCATGCGTGATATTCACATCGCGTGGACGTGTAATTTGCTTTTCTTAGGACTTGTGATATTAAGTAGGCAAATGAACTCAAACACGTCATGTATATAATTATTTTGCTACTTGCTACAAAAGGAAAACGTGCGCGGCTCTCATGTCAGGGGTACTTGAGTGAGTGACATGCAGGCTCTGCATGCACAGCAAACCACCAATCACAATCAAATCTCCAAAGCAAACGGACCGCGTGATTAAAGGTAGAAACACTGAATAAAGTGGTTTCATGTGTTTCTCCAGGGCAGTTCGGCGCTGCTAACCGAGCTAGCTCAGCTTGTTGCTCTGATAACATAAGATCCAGACGTCCGTGACTAAAATCCTTCATCCGGTTAAATATAGTTAAAAAAATACCAATTGTAAAGCATCAAAGTTCAAGAAAGGATGGTTTGCGGGGAAAAAAACGGTATTTTCTTCAATTCCTGTATGTTTTCATATCGCAATATATATATCGCAGGGGGGGGGGGGGAAATCGCAATGTCAGTTTTTTCCAATATCGTGCAGCCCTGGGTCAGATCACCAAATATATATCATCCCACAAAAAAGGTTGTTAGATTGCTGCTTGACAGGAGTTACTGGGACACACACACACTTACTGAACATCCGGTTTGGCAGCCTTCAGTCTGAGGGAGGCCTCAGTGAAGCTCAGCTGGTGTTTCTTCATCAGGTAGGAGGTGATGATGGTAGCACTGCGACTCCTTCCGGCCTGACTGATCACAAACAGCAGCTGTTCACACGCTTTACTGACCCTATGTCTCTGGGTTTGTTTACAGTTTGTACAGCAAACAACACCCTCTGTCCTTAGAGCCTGACACATACTAGGAACATCTCCAAAAGAAAACCCCACAGTTACCGGGGGAAATGTAATAAACCTCGGGAGAGAATCAGAGGATCCCTTTATCAGGACGGAAAGATGTGCAGTAGGTCAAAAAGAATAGAATTACAACATAGACAATCCAAAGGCTGAACATGATCATGTGAATATACGATATATAAAAAGAAAAAAAGATGGCTCCAGGTAGATATAACTAGTAAGATATATTTTAGTAAGTAAATGCCAATAATTAGCAGGAATAACATCAATTATCAGATGGAATATAGTAGAAAATATGTCTTTTAATATATGATGCATTTAGTATAATGTCTGTCTAAAAAACAAATCAATTAAAACGTTATTGTATGTAGTATAACATATACAGGCATAGGCGGAGTTTGACATTTGCGCTTGGGGGGGGCAAACCTTTACACAGTACAGTCAGTACACAGTCCCAACTATTGCGTGGGGAGCTACGGATACAGTAGCAATAAAGCCAGCGCTCACCGCACTGAGTATGACTTTTCCACATATGAACGCAACTCGTCCCGTTATGCACGCCTCATGCCCGCCGTACACACACTCATATGGAAGGGGCGGTCTCTCCCCCCAACAACAGTGCATTACATAACTGTAAAACTTATCATAACTGTGCACATCTTATACTTATTTGATAACTACTATATCCCTTGGTTACTTGAACACACTACAATATTATTAACCAGTGTCCTACCTTATTAAAATATTGATATACGAAATATTTGTATTGGAACAGTTTTAGACGTAGTAATGCTGTAACATGTTTCAGCATTTCCAAACCGACCCCTGCACCCCCCACTCTGTGACTGAGTGAACAGCAGCAGGCTTTAGGATGAACCCCTCTCTCCAGCTGAACCAGCAACTTCCGTAACCTTTCCTAAGCAAATAATCAAATCAGCATCCCTCAGACAAAAGATAATAAATATAACTCCGAAAAAATGTGAAGATCTTTAAAAATCTTTAGACCAGGGGTGTCAAACATACGGCCCAACAGAGGATCTAATCCAGCCCGAAAGAGGACATTGCAAAGTGTAAAAATGACAGAGAAGACACTAACGGCAATTTTCACAACTTTTATGTATACATTATATACAAGGCAGGGTGAACCTTCTTCTTAATAGTTCCCAGTTGTTTTGATCATTAAGTGAAACACTATATTGTTCAGTTCCAGATACCTGTGACTAAATGTTTTTGTAGATACATTGTGATCTTGAAGTTGTAATGAACACTTGAGATCAGATTTGGCTGAATGTGGCCCCTGAACTAATGAGTTTGACCCCCTGCTTTAGACCCTTACCAGTGAACGAGTGCAGCCCCTCCTCCATCCACAGCTTCCTGAATGAAGCGGAAGCAGTCGTCCATGTGACTCAGAAGGTCAGAGCACACCTCATCCAGAACATTGACCCACTTCCTGCGAAAGTTCCCATCAGCAGGAATCAGAGGGGCAGGGTCCGCAGAGTCAACAGACAGGATGTGAGTGACAGCTGCGGCGGCCAATCCCTGGCTGTCATTGAGGTCCGCCACAGTGCCGATGTAGAGGCCGGGGTCCACCAGCAGCATGACTACAGACACACACAAACTCATGTCATGTCTTCTTACAAAATCACAACATATCAGGAATTTCAATCTTATTTCATTTAAAAAAAACTTCAGAATTATTCACGATATGACCAATAGTTGTTATAGCAGCTGTTATGTACTCTGGCACCTGAGGGAGGGTGTCCAGCCTCCAGTATTTAATAAGTAAATGTCTGTCTGTTTTTTTTTACTTGTATTATTTTTGACTGACAGTCGGTAAACATTTTGGGGGGGAAAACTGATTTGTTAAATACAAAATGTTTCAATGTAGTAAATATATCGAAAATATTTCAAGTAGATTTCACATTTCCTTGATAAATAAACCGTATTTCTCTACTTTCTTCAGTGTTTCCTGCGTTCCTTTGGGTATTGTTATTTAAAAACTAAAAGTAGTAGAAGTAACCAAGTACCATTACTCAAGTAGCCTACTGTAGCCTACTTGAGATACTTGTTGTACTTTACTTGAGTATCACAATTGTTTTTGTGTTTTTCTACTTTGTACTTAGACAAATGGTGTATTGTTACCCCACTACATTTATTTAATACCTTAAGTTACTTACTCAAGCTTAATATACTATTTTTAAGAGCTCTACTTTGACTTCTTCCTCAAACATGGCGAAACAGAGCATTAACATGAGAGCTCTGCCGCTGACAGCTCTGTGTGTGCGTGTGTGTGTGTGTGTGTGTGTGTGTGTGTGTGTGTGTGTGTGTGTGTGTGTGTGTGTGTGTGTGTGAGTGTGTGTGAGACAGCTCTCTGAGGACGGCAGCTACTTACCTCGTAAACCCCTCGCTTGTTTAGCTTTCCCGCTCAAACGTTAATCCTAATTTTACTGAAATATTTGAACATAAAGAGTTGTGTGCAAAATAATAACTCACTCCTCAACAAAGAACACCGAGGAAACTACAACAACAACAAACGTGTGGTTGTTACTGCGGGGGTTTGGTGCGTCTTTCAGAGTGTCCGGAAGGAAACACACAGGACAGCTCCTTAGTTCCGGTGTAACACCACATTCTGTACCTATCGGGTTAGTTAGTCACACCTTTTAGTTGTTTTATTACTCGAGGGGGAGAAGCACTGAGATGTTTTACTATAGTTAAAGAAGGTATACTACCGGAGGTTGTACTCAGATTATTTACTAAAGTAAACGTAGCAATACTGCAGTGTAACAATACTAAGCTACAAGTTCTGCATTCAAAATTGTACTTAGGTAAAAATAAAAACGTATTAGCATAACAAAACTTATTTTTGTACCAAGAGTAAAAGTATGGGTTCTGTTAAATGGCCATTTTCAGCACCAGGTATTTTTGGAAAATTATTTTAATCCATTTATTTAAATGATTAATGTGTTAATCACTTTAATGTTGCACTTGGTAAAGGTGTGGTTTATTTGAATTACTTGATGCACTACTAGTTAGCTTAACCTATAATAATAATAATATGAGAATCATAATACCTTTATTAGTCCCACAGAGGGGACATTTGCATATATATATATATATATATATATAATGAACATCAGCATATAAATGTAGTTTTGTAAAGAAAATTGAAACATTTTGCTGGTTGGAAATAAGCGTCATGACCGAAAGAACGAGATCGCGGATACAAGCGGCCGAGATGGGTTTTCTCTGCAGGGTGGCTGGTGTCTCCCTTAGGGATAAGGTGAGAAGTTCGGTCATCAGGGAGGGACTCGGAGTTGAGCCGCTCCTCCTTCGCGTCGAAAGGAGCCAGTTGAGGTGGTTCGGGCACCTAGTTAGGATGCCACCTGGGCGCCTCCCTAGGGAGGTGTTCCAGGCACGTCCAGCTGGGAAGAGACCAAGGGGTAGACCTAGGACCAGGTGGAGGGATTATATCTCTTCGCTGGCCTGGGAGCGCCTTGGGATCCCCCAGTCAGAGCTGGTTGATGTCGCCAGGGAAAAGAAAGTTTGGGGCTCTCTGCTGGAACTGCTACCCCCGCGACCCGACCACGGATAAGCGGGAGAAGATGGATGGATGGATGGATGGATGGAAATAAGCGTGGCTTGTATTCATAGATTCATCTCAGTTAAAGAAATCCAGGAATAAAACATTTCGCCTCATGTTTTATTCAATAAACCCTGCATACTAATTGGCCAGCGGTCACTGTGGAAGAGGATAAATAAGGAATAGCAAACCTCGTAGTAAAAACAAAGTGTCCCAGGTTTTATTACTCAGTATTTGGTTAAAGAAAAGAATACTTTTGAGAAAACATTTCAAAACAATCGTCTCACAAAATGTTCTTAATTTGAGCTCATAGACACAGACTGAGAGTAAACAGAAAAAGAACATCCTTACCCACAAGATAAATAAACCTCACAATTATATTGGCTTCAGCTATGAAACTAAAAAGGAAGAGAGAACAGGAAGACACCGGGAGGATGAGGTCATGTTGGCAGACACTGGTCACTGTCTCATTACCAGGGTCAAGTGCTAGTAAAATGACACCTGTTAAATGCAGATCAACACACATCTGGAAACTAGAGAAAATGACACACTAACTGTCTGACTTTATGTATTAAAAAACTATATTTACAATCACGTCAGGTTAAAGACACACTTTAAACACATGTTCAGAGTCACGTCTGTCTGGCCTCCTGTTTCTCAACATTAATTAAGTGTGTGTGTGTGTGTGTGTGTGTGTGTGTGTGTGTGTGTGTGTGTGTGTATGTGTGTGTGTGTGTGTGTGTGTGTGTGTGTGTGTGTGTGTGTGTGGCGTTGCGTACGCCCCACAGTCTGTACATGGTCACAATGTGGGGTGCTAATAAAGTTTTTATGAGCTGCTTTAATCTGACCGTCTGACCAATCACAACACCTCACTGTGACCCCGCCCCTCCCTGAGGGCTCATTAGAGCGCTGCCCATCACACATAATGAACTGTTGGAGTGAAAACACAGAGCAGAGATGCAGCAGTGACAGGTGGTGGGACGGAGGGGGAGTGTATTGTGTGTGGCACCGACTCACTCACATTGTGTAGCTCTCTAACAGATGCCTGTGAGACAGACTGTCAACAAGAATTAAACAGCCTTTTCTTTTAAAACACTTTGTGTTAAACGCCTGATTATGAAAGCCACTTTGTGTAGAATGTGATTATGGCATCTTTCTATTCAGTTGCTCATTTAACGAAGTTTTTGCAAGAAATGTTAATCCGTTGACATTCAGGGAAGAATCTGGGGTTTAGTATCTTTCCCAAGGACACTTCAACATGTTGACTGCGGGGTCAGGGTTCAAACCATCAACTCTCCAATGATATAAGATCAATTGGAACAATAGTGAAGCAATCCCACTTAACTCATGCAAAACCTAATGAACACCCCCTTTATTTGGAAAACAAATGGAATGAGGTATTTGGGAATTAACATCATCTCTCCTATCTCCAAAATCTTTAGTCTTAACGGCCCTGCTATTTTCCACTCCATTAAAGAGGACATCAACAGATGGATGGCCATACCACTTTCTCTATGGGGCAGAGCAGAAACCTTGAAAATGAATGTTCTCCCAAGGCTTTCTCATATTATCTCCTCTATCCCTCTTGAATTCCCACTAAAATGGTTTAAAGATATCAAATCCCTATTCACTCAGTTCCTTTGGAATAATAAAAAACCCAGAATTGCACATAATAAGTTGATCATTCCAAAATCAATGGGAGGTTTGGGAGTCCCGGATGTATTCCAGTATTATCTGTCCTTCAACGCAAAGTATCCATTATCGTGGGCGTACAAAAGTGCCTCTCCGGTAGGCAGTTGGCAATGGCTGGAGCAATCCATCATGTCTGTAAACCAAAACATATCTCTGGCATCAATGTGGTACTGCCCCAAAACCACCACCCTCAATGGATAATACCATCATCCGCTTTTCATGCTCTATGGTAAAGCAACTGCACAGGAGACTCAACATAGAGGGGCTCTCTTTGCCATCTTGCCCCATTTGGAGTAACCCCTGTCTTTCTGCAGGAGGAGGCACCTTCAGTAATAATATCTGGCAGAGGGCTGGTATTACTACAATTGGACAGATATATAGAGACCAAACCCTTCCATTTCAACAACTCAAACATCAGTATGGTTTCTCAGACTCATCTTTTCTATCATATGCACAACTAGCATCTATTATTAGAACAAAATGTAAGGAGGGAGCCATGCCTGCTTCATGTATGGAAGAGGACCAGCACCTCAAGAAAGCAATCATATCATCCGGTGTGGTCTCTAACATTTATAAATGATTATCTAGGGCTGCCCCGAATACCTATTCTCCTGTCCAACTGTCCTGGGAGCATGCCTTGAATATCTCTCTGTCTGCTTTGCAATGGAACTCCATTTGGAGGTCAGCTATGTTCTCTTCTAAATGTGTAAGATTCAGGATCATACAGTTCAAAATTCTCAATAGAGCTTACATCACCCCTGTTACAAAATCCAAGATGGACAATAAACACAGAGACTTATGCTGGCATGAATGTGGCAAGCGAGGTACATTGTTGCACCTACTCTGGGAATGCCCAGCGGTAAAAAAACTTTGGTCAGAAGTAATATCCTTAATGTCTGAATCTTTCAAAGTTAATTTCCCTACATGTCCCATTGCATGTCTACTGGGTCTCAAGCCAGATGGCAATGTTGCAAGGACTGCCGATCAGCTATGGACATTGGGCTGTTTAGCAACAAAAAGACTCGTCCTACTAAACTGGAAGGAACGCAAACCAGCCTGCTTTACTAGGGACTCATGGCTGAGGGAGTATCTGGACCTACTGAACATGGAGCGTGCAGCTTCTCTGCTGGGGGATTTTGAGGGGAGACAGGAGGATTGTGGTTCACTGTCCGCAGCTCTCCTATCTGACCCTGTCAATATAGCATCTCCTGTGTAATGTATAATGTATTGTGTATGAAATGTCCTGTGTATGTCACAATCAGCTGTCTCAGGAAGTCATCCTTGCATCCCCCCCCCCCCCCCCCCCCCCCCCCCCCCCCCCCCCCGTTATGTTATGTTTTGTTTAGTTGTTTGTTGTTACATGTTTTGTTGTTTGTTCTGTTATCTTGAGCAATGTCTGGTTATTTTATAACTGAAAAATAAAAACTCTCCAATGAGCATCACCTCCTGAGCTGCTGGGCCCACTAAGGGGCCATTGTAGAAACAAAGTAACCATGGAGTCTGGGTTTACTCGTGAAATGTTGACTTTAATCTCAGCACATTTCTGATATTTCTTGGCCAATGTATTTGTAATGTTAAAGAATATTCAAGGTTTTTAAATGTGTAGATTATTCCTTTTAATCTACCATTGTATCCTCTCAAAATCTGAGTTTATTTTCACCACTGTATCCCACTCCCCTTGCTTTGCTTTGATCATACACCATTAGAGGTTACCAAGGTTGCACATGTTTCAATCCTACAGATACAACAGAGGTTCAAAATAGAGTATATTCTGTAGACTTCTCTCTGGATTTGAGCCTTTGCAGACCATTTACATGCACACAAACCTATAGAAGACACAAGAAAAGGGAAACCCCCAAAGCAGAATAGGGACTCTTTAAATAAGGCCCCATAAGTCAACTAATAGATACATTACAGTGGAGAGCAGAGAACATCTGTCTTCACATTCATTACAAAATATATATGTATGGTATTTATAATCAGTAAATTCTTGCTCATTTCTGTTTTCATAATTTAAGAGTAGCACAATATAAAGTCAAGGAAATCACTAGCTGTCAAACTGCAAGACGATGTACAGGAAGACAATATTATTGCATTTGAATTACATTTGACACGTGTGATTTGACATCATATCAGTTAATAAACAATATTGGCAAAGCAGAGCAAGGCAGGTCATCCTTAACATTGTAAACCATTGTTTTCAAATCATGAGAACATGACGACTATTTATTGTTAGCAGTGGTGGAAAGTAACTACGTACATGTACTCAAATACTAAGTCCATTTTTAAGCTACATTTACTTTACTTGAGTATTTCCTTTTAAGCTACTTTGCTACCTTGATAATGTTCTATATTATTTTGAAAATGGCCACTTGGATGAGTACTTTTAGATATAAGATAAGATAAAAGGTACTTTATTCATCCCAAAGATATAGTACTTCAATTCATTTTTAAATAATTGTATTTTATAATATAGTGCGTTTACAATACTGTAACATTGCCAAATCTCTCTGCACCAGAGAGTGTGTTCATGTAAAGTGAGCAGTTACTCCACATCACTCTGCAGTGAGTTCCAGACCTCTCATGTTAGTCTCCCACATGTCCACCCTTTTGATGACCAACGGACTGAGCTGAACAATTACAGCTCTATAAAGAATAATGATCTTAACCCCATGACATCACTTGTGGCCGGCTCACCTCAGCCGGGGATCACATTTTCATTGAAATATTTAAGTATTATAATGTACTCCCTTCATTTAATGGTAACTTTAATATACAGCAGACTGAAAAGTATTCGATATTGTAAAACGCAGAATATAGAAACAGTTCAAATGTTCAAAGAAGAAGTAGAAGACAGGCTTTTTAGTCTTAGCAAAAACACACAATAAAATGTAACTGTGGTCATTTATAATAATAATAATAATAATGCATTACATTTTTTATTAGAGCGCTTTTACAGGTGCTCAAAGCGCTTTTACAAGTACACATTACACATATTAGACATGTAAGAGTCATTACTGAAATAGTTACAAATAAATAGTTACATTCAGTGGTAGAAAGTAACTAAGTATATTTACTCAAGTACTGTACTCAAGTATATGTTTGAGGTACTTGCACTTTACGTAAGTATTTCAATTGTATGCTACCTCTTACTTT